CCCCCCCCCCCCCCCCCCCCCCCCGATCCTGGGGAAAAGCCTCATACTTTCCACTCTATTCATGCTAGTCACAATCTTATAAACTTCTTTCAGGTCTCCCCTCAATCTCCTGTGTTGCAGTGAAAACAAACCCAGTCTATCCAACCTTCATAGCTAAAATCCCCCATACCAGGCACATCCCGGTAAACCTTTTCTCTGCCCTCTCCAAAGCATCCACACCCTTCTGGTAGTGTGGTGACCAGAACTATATGCAATATTCCGTAATAGAAGGACGAGGGCAGCAGCCACTCATCATTCTTACTAGGAAACATATCACCGTTCCTTCACTGTCAATGGGTCAAAATCCTGGAATTCCATCCCTAATAGCATTGTAGGTCAACCCACAGCCGGTCAAGAAGGCAGCTCACCACCACCTTCTCAAGGGCAACTAGGGACAGGTAATAAATGCTGGCCAGCAACTGATGCGCACATGTCACAAATAAATTTTTTTAAAAAGTGAGCTTCCACTAGGCTTCAAACACATTTGGTATTTGATTTATGTCTCTGGTATAAAATTAATGCAAGAGTGTTGTGTCTCTTTTTCCTTTCAATTTCATTTCGTCCTTTTTTTCTAAATCTTCCATGGAATGTGGGTGTTGCTGGGAAGGCCAACATTTTTTGCCCATTGCCAGTTGCCCTCAAGAAGTTGACGTGAGCCACATTCCTGATGCACTGCACTCCCTGTGGTTTAGGTATGTCACTGCGCTATCAGAATGGGAGATCCAGGATTTTGATCCAGCAGCAGTGAATGAACAGCAATATGTTTAATGTCAGGATGGTTTATGACATACAGGTACTGATGTTCTCATGCATCCCCTACCTTTGTTCTTCTATGTGGTAGAGGCCAAGGGTTTGGAAGGTACTTTTGAAAAAGTGCTGGTGATTTGCGGTAGTGCATCTGGTAGATTCATCTGCCTGCCATTGTACATCAGTGTTGGAGGGAGCAAATGTTAGGATAGTGAATGGGGTGCCAATGGGCTGCTTTGACTTGAATAGCAATGAACTTCTTGTGTTGTTGCAACTGCACTCACCCAGACAAATGGAGATACTTCAATTGTGCCATGCCAATGATGCATTGTTTCTGGGGAGTCAGGAGGTGAATTACTCATTATAGGTGTCCCAGCTTCTGACCTGAGTCTCATCATCTGAATCAGCTGGCTCGAAGCAGGCTATATGTGCTAGTTCTATATGTGCTAGTCTGTCCTCTGATTCCCCTGTGGATTCACTTGTGTTAGCTTAAGTAGTAAGTGCTGACAAGCAATTCAGCCATGCCATCAATCCTAGCCACATTCATTGCTACCCTCAACTGATTACAGGCTGGATACAGATGGGGAAGACTAATCAATTATACCTCCCACTGCTGTCTTATCTATTGTAAAAACAACCATATTTTCTAGTGTGAATCATGGATAGTAATTTGTAATTGGAATTCTGCCTTGTTATTTTGCTGCATCTTTGCTAGGTAGAGGTGCCACCTAGAAAGCTCTTCTTGCTGACGTCAGATAACTCAGCACCAAACCAAATCAAACTTTCTTGATTGGAGGACTTGGTTTACTCCACAAAGAGCTACAAGGCGCAGTACAATGTCAGGACAAAAAGCTGTTTCTAGCTGATGAATTTTTGAAGGACACTATCTGAACTGATATATCTAAGTTGATAGTCAAAGCCCAAATTATTGCTATATTCTCTTGAATAGAATCTTTACACCTGGTTAAATTGTTAAATACCGTATGATAGTCAATGAGGAAAAGTGGAGATACTTGCCTTTTAAACCTTTGCTCATGTAATTGTCTGGAAGATGCTGCACAGTGAGTATTCCAGGATCTCCTTTGCTGATTGTTTTCCATCCCTTGCTTCGAAGTTTTAAATATATGGAATACAGATAATGGATAGAATGTACTGCAAAGCAGTCAGTGGAAAAAAAATAAAACTGGTTATTTCTGAGTGCAGAACTGTCATTGAAACTGGATATCAGGTTGCTTGCTATCTCACCCTAGCTGTACCAATACAATTAAATATTGGAAAGAGTAACACCATTGTTTTTGGACCCTACCATAAAATTCTTTCTGTCACCACTAATTTAGTTTTCCTCCCTGCATTCTGCCATGGGTTGAATGTCTCTTTTTATGATAAATTTGACCCTAAACTGGATTTAAGACCCCTTTACCAGATGAGATTTTCAAAAGAGATTTTAAAGCTGTGCACTCTGAGCAAAAAAAAAATCCATTGGCACTTTTCAAGAAAGAGGAAATGAATTATTGCTAGTGTCCTGGTCAATATTTACCCTTTAATCAGCATCACTAACGCAGATTCCAAGGTAGGTGTTGTGAATGTTGGCAATCTGTAATCAAGTTAGAAATTACTGGAGCTACTCAGCAGGTCAGGAAGTATTTGTTTTAAGTGTTACAGTGTTAACATTTCAGGTTAATGATCTTTCCTATTTCAGATCCACCTGAATATGACAGGTGAGGCTTCAGTATATCATCCAAGACACATCTAGCACTGCAACTCCCTTTCATACTGCACTAGATTTTCAGCTCAGATTTTGTACTCCAGTTTCTGGGGTAGCACTTGAACCCACAATCTGTTAACTTTGAGGTGAGAGAGCTACCCACTGAGCCAAGGCTGCCATACTGTTAAAACATGCCGTCAGTTTCTTAAAACTTTTTTCCTAATGATTGTCAGCAAAACACATACCTAGTAATGAGAAAGAACGTGGTGATCTTGAGAATTTATAGCCACCAGATTGCCAATGATGTCATTATCAAAGCCATGAGCCAAAATATGATGTATTATTTTAACACAGTCCTTCAGATGAAAACGAACAATTACTGAATTTTTTTGTATTAACTGCTGAGCTTCCCCCTCCTGTTTGAATTGTTTTGAAATGATGTACAATCTCTGATTAAATCATGGAGATTCATGAGTTTTTAGCTTTAATAAGTGATTGCAGATGTTAATTGCTGTGTTTAAGTAAGAATGAGTCAGTGGTTCTGCTCCTGGTGACCTGCAGGAATCTCCAGGGAAGCTATTCTCTTCTTTCCTCAACTGCGCCATAGTATTTGATGATGCTGTTCATAATCGCAGATTGCTCATCATCGTACACAAGGTGGTACCAGAGGAATTGTAGGAAGTGAGCATACTCTTTCTCCTATCATGTTGAGTCCACAGGTTTCCTTCTGTCACAACGAGTAAATGTCAAACACACACCTGGTGCCTTGATTATAGCAAGGATGATAACAACCAGAAGTGGTAATCACCTTGCTAAGAAGCCATCTGATGCAGTGAAACAATAAGATACGCTAAGCAGTGGACTGCACTAAAAATAATCATCTTATCTGGAACTATGCTAAGGAGCACCAGCGAACAAAAATTCAATAAACTCCGAAATTTTCCCTTCTACTAAATTTTCCAAGTGGAGTTGCCAACACTCCAAAATGAATTTAAAGTCTTAAAAATTACCCTGGGCACTGCTGCAGGCAGCTCAGAAAATTCATAGTGGCTGTGATGATACTACTTATTTCTTCTTTTGAAATAAAACTGTTTATGCTTGTTCTAAAAATACTGGGGATTTGTTAGTGGAAATGGTTGTTGACTGGCAGTGAACAATTGGGTATGGCAGAGTCAGTTCACTTTGGTGTAGGAAGGCAGGGTCTTGTGTGGAGGAAGGGTCTGGTGATCACTGGCATGAGTTGAGGCAAAGCAGCTATAGGTCATGATAGGAAACCTCCAACTTGAGTTGGCAACCCAAGTAGGACGTGGGTTAATGGGAAAGAGTTGGAAAAACTACCATCCTGACATGTAATTTCAATATTTGAATGTTTGTGGACCTCAAAATATATAGCAGATCATTTATAATAGAGACAGATTGTCACCTGTAATTTTGAATGCTTGTCCATCTTCTAGCAAGCTATGAGTCTAGCTTA